AAACGTGAATATAAAGTCATGTAACAAATCAGTCATTTTGACGACATATGATCAAAAATGACTAGTTTGGAACGTCAAAATGATGTGTGCTTGCTACTTGGGTCTGAATAGTTCTGAATCCTTTGAATCGTTCGGTATTGAATTTAGCGCTCGATTTGCTCGAAGATCACGTGATTCAAGCTCGACATCTGTTCGCATCTCAGATTTGTATTGCCGAACGCAGTAATTGTAAAAATAAAATTTAGGGATTTTATCTTTTTCTCGCGTTTATTTAAATATTTATAACATTAAACTCTTGAAGGTCGCCAGTAAATAAAATAAAAGAAGTAATTAAAAACGATCACACTGGCAAATTTTATTAAAGTGAATCACGACGATTTTATTAAAGTGAATTTCGACCATGGTTTTGGTCTTTTTTGAGTGAACTACAAAAAATTATTTCCAGTATTACACAAAAAAATGAATTACATTGATTTTGAAATAAAAAATGAGCGGCAAGTTAAATACATACAATACATATAATAATTTTAAATATTTATTTTTAATAAACACTTAATAAATTGCGTAGATAAAATAAGAAAAAGTATATAGTGATACGGTGACGAATAAATGTAAATACAAAAAGTATACACTTAAAATATATAATAAAAAGATGATAGAAATAATTACGAAAATTGTAATATTGTAATTGTAATTGTAAATATTTCAATATTGTATATCTAATCAATAGAGAGCGTCACATAATTCAAAGCCAGCATTATTTAAATTATATTTAGAACTAAATCTTTTATAATATATGTATGTCAAAAGGAAAATAATCCATAAAATGTAAGTTTACGTTATTTACTATTTTATATATAGGACCGTGTTCCGAAATTGCTGTCAGTTTACTGCCAGCACTGAAAATATATAATATACATAACGTGCACTATAGAATTTGCAGTACTGGCAGTAATTTCGGAACACGACCTAGGAATCCATTCTTAAAAAGTGTATAGGTCTGTTCTTTTTAACTGCACTGCTACACTAGTGCAATAAGTTAAAAAGAGACAAATATACTTTTTTTCACTCTAATTGCACTAGTACAGCAGTGCAACTAAAAAGGACAAGTCCTATCACAGATTAATAAACAGATAGCCAATGACCTGGGTAAAAACTAGACCGCCATTTCTGTGCCACAGACTTTGCCCCTTACCGACACACTTTGCCCCTGGTTCGAGTCCGTGCTAAATTTTGTTGACTTTACCAAAAGACTTTGTCCCTGGTGCGAGTCTAGGCTAAATTCCTTTGATTTTATCAACAGACTTTGCCCCTGGTGCGAATCCAGGCTAATCGATTATGAGATGAATGAGAGGTGAGAGATTTAGCTCCTGTTCGCACCCATTCACCAAAGATGGATAAAAAATTGTTATAAAATTAATATTACTTGATTGCTCGAATAATTAGTAATCAATTTAAAAAATTATTTATACTTGGATAATCAGTAATCAAAGTAAATAATTATTTGATTATTTGGATAATCAGTAATTAAAGTGAAAATTTCAGTAATCAAACTTAAAAATTTTTTAATTATTCAGTAATTATATAAGATGAGATTATATCGAAATTTAATTTTTCGATATAACTTTTAAATGTGCATGAGGCATAAAAAATTTGTTTGGACATTTCCAAGATTTTTAAAGTTGAAATTCTCAATTCTTTAATTAAATTTTGACGTAACGCGCCTTACATCCGTATGACTCACATAGCCCATTTATTTCTTAGTGCAATTTTTAGTTATTTAAGTTCTTTATTTTTCATAAAGTTTACCTTTTCATTATCATCAAATATTTTTGGTACATATTTTCAAAAATTTTGTATTTTTATTTACCGCAGTTCCTTATACAAATGTCAAATCTTTTATCAATCTTCTGTGAAAAACGAAACAATTTACAATTTTATGATATGATATTATTATTATAATTTATTATTATGATAATTTCTATATGTACATCTGTCGAATATTTTGTGATTTTCTTCACGCATTCATAATCTATTTTAATGCAAGAAAAACGCTTGCAACAATCAAAAACAAACTACCTGTCACGAACGGAAAATATCGAGAAAATACGCAATTTCCGCGAATTTCGTGATTTTTTAAAAAATCTACAATTTCGATTAAATTATAGATTATTCAGATCACTGCACAAGTATATAATTCCCAATAATAATTTTCAATAACTACGATAAAAAATTGTTTACTGAAAACTGTAAGCAAAAGTGCAATGGAATAAAGTCTGTGAGAAAATAAGCGAAAAAATAAACAAATAGGCAATAGAAAATTAATAATTTTCAAACAGAAAATTCTTGAAATTATCGAGGATTACAAATTATAAAGTATAAAGATAATTCATTTTCAAACTTTGCTCACGGAAAAGATCTTTGAAACGGGAAGAGATAAGATCTTTAAAGAAGCGAAAAGAATTAAAGCGTCGGAAGAATTAAAGCGCTGTGTTTCAATAGATTAACGCACAATGAAACTGACACGCAATTGTTTTGCCTCATCTCGACGAGCTCACAAACTTCTGGCGTTCTTAAGCCAGTAGAAATAGTAAAAAAAGTAACAATAATTTCAAATGACTATAAACCTTTTTATTGCTTAGTTTTGTTAGCAACATAATATATCTCATTTTGCTAACTTCCTCGAGGTCCGCAAAATTAAAAAAAAAACGAATTTGCAAAATTTGTTGCCACTTTACGTAGAAAGTTGCAAATAATTAGCAAACTTGGGGAAATGTTTAATCGATGGTTTTTTGCTGTTTATTAAATTTGCTAACCATCCCAGTGTCCGCAACATTGAAAATTGTTAAAAATTAGCATTTTTGTTAATAAATATTCCGCAAAAATATGTAATGTTTTGCAAAAGTGTTAACATTTTTTTAAAAATATGCGAAAAGATTTATGAAAATTTGCGAACTCGTAAGTTGCACACAACACGTATATATATATATATATATATATATATATATATATATATATATATAATTTAAATTGTTTATTCGACTGTATTTCCGCCAAAAAATTGCAAGTGTTATGAATATAGATAACAAATACTTAAAGCATTTTATGTCTCGTATTTTCAAATTTGCTAACTTCTTCGAGCTCGGCAACATTATTAAAACTTAACAATTCCGAAATATCTCTCGCAATAAATTTCTTTTTCACGTAAAAAAAAGCAAAAAATTTTTAAAATTATCCGATTTATGTCGTGTTTGATGTCATTTTAATCGCAAAAATCTTATTAATCCATTGAAATTATTTTCAAATCGATAAAATGTGAAATATAAAAGTTTTATTTTCTGTGGTAAGATGATATATGATACGTGAAAGATAAAGATAAAGGGAACCTCGCGAGAGAGACTTCGGAACTTTTTGATAATTGGTCATCTCGCTTGCTCGTTATTCGTTCTCGCTCTCGATATTGTCGAACTCGAGAGCGAGAACGAATAACGAGCAAGCGAGATGACCAATTATCAAAAAGTTCCGAAGTCTCTCTCGCGAGGTTCCCTTTATCTTTATCTTTCACGTATCATATATCATCTTACAAAAAATAAAATTTTTATATTTCACATTTTATCGATTTGAAAATAATTTTAATGGATTAATGAGATTTTTGCGATTAAAATGACATCAAACACGACATAAATCGGATAATTTTAAAAATTTTTTGCTTTTTCTTACGTGAAAAAGAAATTTATTGCGAGAGATATTTCGGAATTGTTAAGTTTTAATAATGTTGCCGAGCTCGAAGAAGTTAGCAAATTTGAAAATACGAGACCTAAAATGCTTTAAGTATTTGTTACCTATATTCATAACGCTTGCAATTTTTGGCGGAAATACAGTCGAATAAACAATTTAATTTAAATAACGTTTATTTATATATATACTTGTTGCGTGCAACTTACAAGTTCGCAAATTTTCATAAATCTTTTCGCATATTTTTAAAAAAATTCTAACACTTTTGCAAAACATTACATATTTTTGCGGAATATTTATTAACAAAAATGCTAATTTTTAACAATTTTCAATGTTGCGGATCCTGGGATGGTTAGCAAATTTAATAAACAGCAGAAAACCATCGATTAAACATTTCCCCAAGTTTGCTAATTATTTGCAATTTTCTACGTAAGGTGGCAACAAATTTTGCAAATTTGTTTTTTTTTTAATTTTGCGGACCTCGAGGAAGTTAGCATAATGAGATTATATTATGTTGCTAACAAAACTAAGCAATAAAAAGGTTTAAAGACATTTGAAATTATTATTGTTATTTTTTGGAATTATAATGTCTATTTCTACTCGCTTATCTTGAGTGATCACATCGACTGTGTCTCACAGAACGAATTCCCAGTGTGCTTTTGTTTGCGATTTTCAATAGCTTATGATTTTTTATCATTGTTATTGAAATAATTATTGTGAATAGTGTGACGTGTGTGTGTGTGTGTGTGTGATGTGATCCGATTTTACGAATCTACAGTTTTAACGAAATTGTAGTTTCGATAAAATCACGAGATTCGCGGAAATTGCGTGCTTTTTCGGCGTTTTTCGTTCGCGGTTGGCGATTTGTTTTCGATTGTTGCAGGTACTTTTCATAGATTAAAATGGATAAGAATAATGTGAAGAAAATCACGATATTCGACAGATGTGCATATAGAAACTGTAATAATATCAAATCAGAGAACTGTAAATTGTTTCGTTTTCCACAGAAGACTGATGAAAGATATTTGACATTTAGATAAGAAATTACGGTAAGTAAAAATACTAAATTCTTTTCTTCCTCTTCTTTTATGTTTATTGGTTTTTGCTGATCTCAAATTAAAGATCTTATCTTGCCATTGATCTTTAGTGAACAAAATTCTTTAAAATACCAAAAATATTTGATAATAACAAAAAAGCTGAATTTTGTGAAAAATGAAGAAACGACTGTCTTAAAAATTTCAAGTAATTTTCTTTAATGAAATTTAATTAAAATTTTTTAAAGTACATTGTCAAGGAAAGATTGCGATTGACTTTCATCAATTTTGATCTCCTTTCTTGTGGTGAATCTGTATTAAAATTAAGTTGATTTGTATTCGAGCTTTTCGTCCAATACGCCTTGTAATATTTTTTTATACTTGAAATTTTCATGTTTGTTATAAGCCCTAAATAAAGACACATGTTTAATCAGTGCCGCTAGCGCAACAGAAAAGTTTTATCTTGAGAACGGAGTTAGAAGTTACTGCATTGGCCATTACTACGGTATGGCGCTGAAATCAGTAAGAAAGTGCCGGTCTAGTCTTTACCCGGGTCATTGGCTATCTGTCTATTAATCTGTGGTCCTATGTTAAGTCAATTACTCGAATATATCGAGGCGTTGAAGCCTCCTTTTCTGCGATGCTGGTGCGTTGCGATATACTCGTGGTAAGTAGCGTAGCGCTCGAGCGCCTCGTCGTCTATAACCTATTTGTTACTTTGCTCTTTCATGCTACATAGTGTTAAGAAAGAAGTAAAAAGAATCGGGTGGCACCCGATTGACCACGTCGTCAATTGGCCAATTCAAAATAGGACTCTCTGATTGGTTAATCATTGCTGGTTACCCTAGGCACAGGTCGATATAATTGGCTGTGGTCAATCGCAACGTGGTCAAACGGGACGCTCCCAAAGAATCTCGTGAAGAGGATAGAAAAAGGAGAAAGAGAAAAAGAAGAAAAGTCGAATAGAGAAAGTATGTATATAAATATGTGTATAAATAATGTTCTTTTTTAAAAGAAAGTATGAAAAACTTTGATCGCGAAAAGATCATACCACTTGTACATATTTATATTTACAATTATATTTATAATATGTATAAATATATAAGCTATATTGTAATCATATGTACATATATATATAAATATATATAATATATATACATTACATATACATATGTATACATATATATATATAAATATGTAAAATAATATAATGTAAATTATATTATTTTTGTTTGTAGTTAAATTACGCTAATAATTTTAAATCCTCTCTGCATTATTGTATGTGGTCTTAATAAAACATTCCCCAATAGCCAAGTTTGCTAAAGCAGATCTTGTCAGGGAATCTGTTACAAATTGTTGTCGACAGAAAGATTACAGAATCGATGCAAGTTCTGATATATCATGTGATGTCGGCAGAATGTCAACAGAAATATAACAAAGCTTGTTAACATAATCAGTTACCAGATTAGCAGCAAAAATCGAACAGATTCTGCCGGCATAACTTAGTGGCAGAAATTGAACAGGATCTGTGCGATGCAATTTGACAACAGATTGTCGGCAAAAATCGAGCAGGATCTGTGCATATAATCTCTGATAGCAGATTGATAGCAGAAATGGAACAGGGTTTGCATGATTCGAGTTCGAAGTTCCTTCACTTACCGCTACGTGAGCTGTACTTTCTCGTAATTGAATTTTTGTCAGAAATATATATAAAGTCGCGAATATGAATAAAAGACTAAAAATTTAGTAATTATCATTTTAATTTCTAACATTTTAATTTCTGATATCTGATACAAGCAAATGAGAGTCAGAATATTAAACTGATTGGAATCAATATGATAAATGAAAAATTATTCATGTACTGTCTATTTGAGGTATAAAGCAAGAATTTAATTCTAAATATAATAAATTACATCTTAAGTTTTACAAGTTACATTTACTTTTATCATTTACTTTATTATTAATTTAATTAAATTGAATTAGTCCTTCGCTATATGAGATATAATTACGATATAACATATTACATATATGTTATTTTCTAAGAAAATTCTAATTAACTTGCCGATAATATTGTTATTTAGTACTTGTAATAATCAATTTTGTTGCATTTATAAAATGCTAATAAGCTAATAAGTGTTAACATTAATAAAAGTAAGCGCAAATCTTGTGCAGTTTCTGCTGTCAATTTGCCATCAGGTTGCATGCGCAGATTCTGTTCGGTTTCTGCTGACAATCTAACATCAAATTGCACGCGCAGATCCTGCTCGATTTCTGCTGTCAATCTGCTGTCGGTTTATGCTGACAGATTCTGCTAGCAGAACCCAAGCTTAATGCGGACGAAGTTGATGCCAATCTGCCGCAATATTCTGTTTGAATCTGCTCGCATGCTGCTGGCAGACTGCTAACATTTTGCTTACTGGGTTAATACATATGCAAGATAATATATGGATCGTATAACAATACAAATGGTTCATTGAAAATATAATAAGAATTATATATATGTATATATTTACTAAATTTAGAATTATATTAAATTGTATATTTACTAAATTTTTATTTACAAAACAATAATAACTCAATACAACAATAATATTTCATAAATATTTCCTAATTCTTACTATTTTTTTCAATAACTCAAATTATTTATAAATATGCATTATATGTTCTATGTTATCTTATATGCGTAGTAATGATTTAAGAATATATGTACTAATGCAAATAGCATTCAATATTACTAATCTAATTTAAACATTGCAGGAAGAGTTTGCTTATAAAGAAGTTTGTACAATAAGCTTGTTATCCAGGAAATATATAGCTATTCCTTTATACAAGCTTTTTTATAAGTAAACTCTTCCTGCAATGTTTAAATTAGATTAATAATGTTGAATTCTATTTACGTTAGTATATTTTTAAATCATTACAATATGTTATTTATAAAAATACATGTATTAAACTTTATCTTATATATACTCTAATAATGTATTAATGTGAATAGATTCAAATTTATTAATTTAATTTAAATATTGCAAGAAGAATTTGTTTATAAAGAAGTTTGTATAAAGAAATGCCTATACATTTTTTAGAGTATTGCATATACAAGATAACTTATATATGTAATACATATATTTTTTTAAATAGTTTAGTTTATTGAAAAAAACTAATAATAATTGTATATAGGTTATATTCAAAAAATATTCAAAATATATTAAATATATTGACTAAATTTTTATCAATAAAACAAACAATATATATTTTATAAATATTTCCTATTTATAATTTTTTAGTTTTCAAAGAATCAAGTTATTTTTAATGTTTTATATATTATATAAATTATCTTGCGCAAACAATAATAATCCAGAAAATGTATAATCACTTTTTTATACAACCTTTTTTTATTAGCAATTTTTTCTGCAATATTAAAATTAGATTAAGAATATTGAACTCTATTTGCATTATAGTAAATATGTTCTTAAATAATTATTGTATATATATAAGATAAAGTATAAGTAAAGATAATACATATATATTTATAAATAACTTAGCTAAAAAATAGCAAGAATTATAGTAGAAAATATTTATGAAGTATTTATTATTTATTATGTTAATAAAAATTTAATGAACACAGTTATATGTATGTAATTGTATAAAGATATGTACAATTTTTGTTATTTTTTAATAAATCATTGTATTATACGATGTATTATCTTGTATACACATTAATGGTTAAGAAGTATATGTAATGATGCAGAGAGATAAGGTTTAAAATTATTAATGTAATTTAACTCTAAATAAAAATAATATAATCTATATTATAATATACATATTTAATTATATATATATATATATATATATATATATATACATAATTAAATATATTACAATATAGCTTATATTCTATATATATTGTAAATATAATTGTAAATATAAATATGATATAAGTGGTATGATCTTTTCGCTACTTGGAGTTTAATCATAAATCTTTTTCTTTAGCATGATCTCGTGAATAGTGAAAAATTTTATTGACACAAATATTGAATTCGTTAAACCAAATCGAAAGGAATTAGGCTCGTTATGTATTAAACAACAAGATAAGAAAATTGGCGTCTCCGAGCCAGCGGATGGTAATGCCTAAAAATTCTTTAAATTGTACGCGAAAATTTTAAACGAGAACAAGGCATATGCATATATTTTACTTGGTGCATTTACCAAGATATATAGATTCTTATTTTTGAGAAATTCTATAAAAACCCTCTTACTCACCTGGAGAGACATAGACGAGAAAAATATCGAGATGAATTCGTTAACTTTTTATAAGTTTACGTTACAAGAAAAGATTATGATTGAGATCTTATTAATATAATATTAATAATAAGGACTGTTAAATTATTTATATAACATTATATATTAATAATACAATTTAAATAAATATGTATATATATATATATGTATATATATAAAATATAATTTATATATACATATAGATATGTATATATAAATTACACATATGTGTGTATGTATGTATGTATTATTTCTATAATTTCTTATATATTATTTTTTAAAATAAATGTAGATTATTAATATTTATTTTGTTTGTTTCAGGAACGGCGAAAAAGCTATAAAAAGTGACAAAATAAATAGTAGAAAAAGAGGAAAAGAAGAAGGAAGAGTGAAGAAAGAAAATTATTTGAGAAAACTTTTTATATTATAAATAGTTATTATAAGTTATTATAAGTAGTATATTATAAGTAGTTTTATATTATTTTAATTTAATTACAATTAGTATTTTATATTTAATTATATTTTAATTTTATTATATTATATTTAATTATATTGTATTTATAAAAATTTAATTAATATTTAATTTTATTACAGTGGTATTATTAATTATTATATATTGTAATTTATTTATATATTTTTTTATGTATGTGTAATTAATAAATAATATTATTAAAAAGTATTAATTATTATTAATATTATTATTAATAATATTATGATATTGATGATAATCGATGATATGAATGATATATAAATAATCATATTGATGATATAAACTTATTATAATTATTATTATATATATTATAATATTGACGATAACTACAATGATAACGATAATAATGACAATGAAGATAATGATAATGATGATAAAATAATAATTTTAACAATAACTATAATAACTATAATAATTAACTCATTTATGAAAGCTAATTTATTTAAAGTGAGAAAAACAGCAGTAACTTCATTAATTCTTTGAGCATTGTATCGACGTCAATCCATATTTGGTTTTAAAGTAAATGATAATTGTAACTTCGATAATAATTCGTCAGATTCCATTTCTAAAAAGAATATTAATTTTTATTTTAATTGAATTTAATTTAATAATAATAATAATTTATAAGTAATTGTATAAGTAAGTATTAATAATATTTAAATAATAATAATAATAATATATTATTAATGTAATAATAGTATGTAGATTATTTAATAAGTAAAAGATATTTTAATAGTAACAAATTTTTTGTATAAATTATTTTCTTTTTATTAATATTTATTAATAACATTACGTGTATATATTTAAGATCTCATATCCCAGATAGCAAAATCGGATAGAGCACGTTTTGCAATTTATGTGCTGCATACTATGTCAGCAGAATGCTGTCAATATTCTAGCAAAATATGCCGTTTCAGTTAATGTTGTCAGAAACACAGCAAAAGTTGAGCATAACGTGCGTTACGATGAAATGACAGAAATGCAGCAGAAATAAAGCAGAGTTTTACCAGCATAAATAGAACAATTCAATGCTGGAATAATGTGTCGGCAGAATGCATACTGAGAGTACGCATAATCTGTTGTCACAGTGTAATAGCAAAATCTCATCAGAAATATCAAATTGTGCAAGCACGCTATGACAGCAGAAACACAGCAGCAATGCAGCATGCTCTGCCGTCATACGATGACATTTAATTTTTAAAATACAGGATCTGTGCGACGCAATTTGACAACAGATTGTCGGCAGAAATCGAGCAGGATCTGCGTACAATCTCTGATAGCAGATTGATGGCAGAAACGGAACAGGATTTGCATGATTCGATAGTTCCTTCACTTACCGCTACGTGAGCTGTTCTTTCTCGTAATTGAATTTCTGTCAGAAATATATATAAAGTCGCGAATATGAATAAAAGAAAAATTGAATTAGTCTTTCACTATATGAGATATAACTACGATATAACATATTACATATATGTCATTTTCTAAAAAAATTCTAATTAACTTGCTGATAATATTGTTATTTAGCATCTGTAATAATCCATTTTGTTGCATTTATATAACATTAATAAAAGTAAGCGCAAATCTTGTTGAAATTTCTGCTGTCAATTTGTCATCAGGTTGCATGCGCAGATTCTGCTCGGTTTCTGCTGACAATCTAACAGCAAATTGCACGCGTAGATCCTGCTCGATTTCTGCTGTTATATCATGACGGCACACTGTGCTTCACTTCTGCTGCATTTCTGCCATCACATCATATTGGCACATCGTGTTGGGAAAAAAGAAACTTAATGAGGACACAGCTGAGCGATATCTGCTGCAAATTCATGATTGAATCTGCTGTTATACTGCTGGCATACTGCTAGCATTTTGCTATCTGGGTATATAGTATATTAATATAGAAAATTCTTATAAAATGACAAGACGTAAAATTATTGTACGTACTTTAGAAGAAAGAAAATAATTTTTACAACGACATCGAGAAAAAAAGGCAGAATCAACGACGCCGTCGTGAAAATAACAAATTAATTGAAAATTCTTCAAAAAAGTCAAATCAACAAACTATTTGTATTGCTGGTACATCAAATGATAATCGTATAATAGAATTAGATTGGAAAATTGAAAAAAATCCTTTAAGTGTTAGATCAACATTACAATCGTTTGTAGAATATCCCAGATAGCCAAATCTGTTACAACAGATTTTCGTCAAATACCCATTACAAATTTTAAAGGCAGAAAGACTACAGTTTGCATAAGGGAATTGATATGTTCGATCATGTTGCCAGCATGTCAGCAGGCATATAACATAATCTGTTGGGAGGATCCCAGTTGCGCACAAAATGAAACGGACCAATCATATCGACCGATACTTAGAGGCCTTGACCAATAGAGAGTCCGAAAGAGTCCTATGTCCGATTTATTCTGTGCGCAACTGGGCCTCACTCAATCTGTTCACATAACTGGACAACAGATCATTAATAAAAATCGAGCAGAACTTGTTGATATAATTGATGGCAGAAATCGAACAGGATCTGTGTGGCGCAATTTTGACAGCAGATTGGTAACAAAAACCGAGCAGGATCTGCGCAATGAAATTTGATATCAAATTGTCGGGTAGAACCTGCTGATGTCACGGAGCAAGGGGGACGTAGAACTGGCCAATCAACTGGCAGCATAGTAGCTGATTGGCCAGTTCTACGCTCCTCTTGCCTCACAAGAAACGAATTGTTGTCGCGGAATGTAACTGACGGCACATTGATGGCAGAAACCGAGCAGGATCTGCACATACAATCTCTGATAGCAAGATCTGTGTGGTGCAATTTTGACAGCAGATTGATAACAAAAACCGAGCAGGATCTGCACATACAATCTCTGATAGCAGATTACGGCAGAAACGGAACAGGATTTGCATGATTCGATAGTTCCTTCACTTACCGCTACGTGAGTTGTACTTTCTCGTAATTTAATTTCTGTCAGAAATATACATATATAAAGTCGCGAATATGAATAAGACTAAAAACATAGTAATTATTATTTTTAATTTCTATTACTTTAATTTCTGATACCTGATACAAACAGATGAGATTCAGAATATTAAACTAATTGGAATTAATATAAATATAATAAATAAATGGAAATTTATTCATGTACTGCCTATTTGAGGCATAAAGCAAGAATTTAATTCTAAATAAATTACATCTCCAGTTTTACAAGTTACATTTACTTTTATCATTTACTTTATTATTAATTTAATTAAATTGAATTAGTCCTTCGCTATATGAGATATAACTACGATATAATATATACTACATTAACATATATTACGATATAACATATGAATATATGTCATTTTAGAAGAAAATTGTAATTAACTTGCCGATAATATTGTTTTTTAGCCTATAATAATCAATTTTGTTGCATTTATATAACATTAATAAAAGTAAGTGCAATGAAAGTACACGCTCTTGTGCAGTTTCTGCTGTCAATTTGCCATCAGGTTGCATGCGCAGATTCTGCTCGATTTCTGCTGACAATCTAACATCAAATTGCACGTGCAGATTCTGCTCGATTTCTACTGTCAATCTGCTGTCAATCTGCTGTCGGTTTATGCTGACAGATTCTGCTAGCAGAACCCAAGCTTAATGCGGACGAAGTTGATGCCAATCTGCCGCAATATTCTGTTTGAATCTGCTCGCATGCTGCTGGCAGACTGCTAACATTTTGCTGAGTATATATGCAAATATAAAATTCACAAAAAGTGGGCGCCCATTAGTTTTGTTGCACTACTGCTTTCTGCCACGAGAGGTCAAAAAGCATTTTCAGACCGTATCTCGATCGTAAAATTATACGCTAGAGGAACAAGGATGGCATGATTGTCAATCCTTTTCTCTCTTTCTTCTCTACGCTACGTCCGCGCGAGCAATGCAATGGTGTTTGTACGTATACGGACATACATCTCTACGTAGAGACTGAGAATTTATTTCTCAGGTTGATGACTCTGAAACTGGAGTTTCGCATTGTCACCGCGTGAGGTCTCCAATATCAATTTGGAATTTGCCCGTTACTCCAGCCGGCCCTTGTACAATGCCAGGCAACAGGCAATAAGAATAGAAATAATATCTATTCTCTGTTCCTATCGGCGAATATTTTCTATTCCGCGTTTTTATTGGTAAATAAATTTATTCCTTATTCCTATAATTGTCTGTTGTCTAGCATTGTGCAAGGGCCTTTAGGCTGTGTTCCGATTCTCCATCTGGTGGGTAAAGGTGCCATTTCATACATCGCTCTATTACTAGATTTTAGCGACATAATGGCGTCACGTAGTCGCTAGCGATGGGATTCTTAGTTGGATTTTTCCAACTATAAGAGCCTATCCAGACAAACTTGCATAGGTGCATATGCATAACATAAGACCATATGGACCAATGAGCATCGAGTATTAAATCGCTATATTGACTTACATAACATAATACTCGATGCTCATTGGTCCATATGGTCTTATGTTATGCATATGCACCTATGCAAGTTTGTCTGGATAGACCCTAAGCGACATTCACGAACGATAATTTTGAAATTTTAAGAATGGATCAATCATTAATCAAAGAGTAAGTATATAATTTTGTAATAAATATTAAATATATATAATAATAATATTTTATAATTAAATAATAATGTATAATTTAATAATAATGTAATTATTTTTATCCTGTATTAGGTAGAATGTTTGTATTTATAAATTTGATATAAAAAAAATGCATTATAAAATCCACTTTTATCTCTTATTTGAAACAATGGATTAACCCAAAAACTTTCTTTTATATCGTTTCTTTTTTTCTTCTAAATAATAAAGAACTGCCGCTACTGCTAATCTTTTCTTTATATTGTTCTGCTTTATATTATTTTCAATTATAATTTTTGTGCACTCAATCATCTAATTATAATATTTTCTTGCTTGTAACATTGTTTATATTTATTTTATACTATGCGTGTCTTAACGCAACTTTTCTTTCTAAATCGACTTTTAGTCGACTTTTCGTCGACTATTGTCTTTAATTAAAAGACGTCTTTGACGAAAATATGTCCAGTTTTAGTCGTCTTTTAGACGTCTTTGTGCCCTGTGGGTACCTTTTGGCATATAAAATTAATTTCTTTTCCGATAATTTTTGTACGTAAAATATTGATGTATTTTAGTTGTTCACTGATGCTGAAAAAAGACAGTATGATGCTTGTGTCGATTTGTATCGCTAGTAATTTTCATACGTCATCACAGAGAGAAGACTGAGAGGGGTCACGCTGCCCTTTTTCAGGGAACGCTTTTTCCCCGCTATAAAATGGCGCTAACTGGATCCATTTTACGGCCGGCGGTACTACGTGGCTGGATCCACTTTTCGCTGCCACGGTAAAACGACCGATTGGTTCATGTCCGTGCTAGATCCATAATTGTGGATCTCAAAAGTACGAAACATATCATACATTTATTAATTTTTATTACATATTATTAACAGCGCGTGATCTGTTTTTACATGCATGTGTTTATGCATGCATATATATATATATATATATATATATATATATATATATACATATAGTGTACGCGGGAGTATGTGAACAAGCGGGAAGGTAATAAGAGGGAGCGAAATGGCAATAAGAGTGAGCGAGATAGGAATAGAACAAGCAACGAAGACTCGAAAATCGAGTCTTTCTTGCAGTCTGGCATACTATTTCTCTCTCGCTCGCTTCTGTTATTGTTTCACTCGCTCTTACGTACTCATATACTGTCATATTCATCTCGTTATCAAGCCTGCCATTGGCAAGCGACCGATGACAAATTGTGAGAAATAAATAAATTAATCATTTTAAGATATATTTATAAGGGTATGCGAGTAATTGTAATGGAACAATGAAAATTTTGCGACAATGACGACAAATTTTAAAACAACATCAAACGCGGTATCAATCGGATAAATGTAGTTAAATGTATATAATCAAAATTTTTATTATCAGACCAATTAAAAATTATTCGATTTATGTCGTGTTTGATATCATTTTAATCGCAAGAATCTCAATAATTCATTAAAATTACTTTCAAATAGATAAAATAAAAAATAGGCGTTTCAGTTTTTATTTTATAAGATGTTTACATTCGCGAGGAAGCCGAGTCCGCTTATCTTTACGACCTATCAAGTGCAAGAGCGACAGCGAGTCGAGAGCGAGCGAGATGACCTATCATCAAAGAATTCCGAAGTCTCTTACAATCGGCTTCTTCACTTTCTCTATCCATCGCTCTATCCATCGCTATTTACGAGATAATAAACTGAAAACTAAAACTCCTATTTTTTATTTTATCGATACGAAAGTAATTTTAATGAATCACTGAGATTTTTGCGATTAAAATGATATCAAATACGGTATCAATCGGATAAATGTAGTTAAATATATATAATCAAAATTTTTATTATCAGACCAATTAAAAATTATCCGATTTACGTCGTGTTTGATATCATTTTAATCGCAAAAATCTCAGTGATTCATTAAAATTACTTTCGTATCGATAAAATAAAAAATAGGAGTTTTAGTTTTCAGTTTATTATCTCGTAAATTGCGAATGGATAGAGAAAGTGAAGAAGCCGATTGTAAGAGACTTCGGAATTCTTTGATGATAGGTCATCTCGCTCGCTCTCGACTCGCTGTCGCTCTCGCACTTGATAGGTCGTAAAGATAAGCGGACTCGGCTTCCTCGCGAATGTAAACATCTTATAAAATAAAAACTGAAACGCCTATTTTTTATTTTATCTATTTGAAAGTAATTTTAATGAATTATTGAGATTCTTGCGATTAAAATGATATCAAACACGACATAAATCGAATAATTTTTAATTGGTCTGATAATAAAAATTTTGATTATATACATTTAACTACATTTATCCGATTGATACCGCGTTTGATGTTGTTTTAAAATTTGTCGTCATTGTCGCAAAATTTTCATTGTTCCATTACAATTACTCGCATACCCTTATAAATATATCTTAAAATGATTAATTTATTTATTTCTCACAATTTGTCATCGGTCGCTTGCCAACGGCAGGTTTGATAACGAGATGAATATGACAGTATATGAGTACGTAAGAGCGAGTGAAACAATAACAGAAGCGAGCGAGAGAGAAATAGTATGCCAGACTGCAAGAAAGACTCGATTTTCGAGTCTTCGTTGCTTGTTCTATTCCTATCTCGCTCACTCTTATTGCCATTTCGCTCCCTCTTATTACCTTCTCGCTTGTTCACATACTCCCGCGTACACTATATATATATGTATATATATATATATATATATATATATGTATATATATATATATATATATATATGCATGCATAAACACATGCATGTAAAAACAGATCACGCGCTGTTAATAATATGTAATAAAAATTAATAAATGTATGATATGTTTCGTACTTTTGAGATCCACAATTATGGATTTAGCACGGACATGAACCAATCGGTCGTTATACCGTGGCAGCAAAAAGTGGATCCAGCCACGTAGTATCGCCGGCCGTAAAATGGATCCAGTTAGCGCCACTTTATGGCGGGGAAAAAGCGTTCCCTGAAAAAGGGCAGTGTGACCCCTCTCAGTCTTCTCTCTGGTCATCACCCAAATCACCTGGCTCCATGAACCGGGTGATTTTTTCACTCTCCCGAGCTGCATTCGGAAACATCACCCGAATGCCCCCGGGTATCATTTTATCCTTGTTGTTCACCGAATGTTAAATAAGGATAAAATGATACCTGAGTACACTCGGGCCGATTCATAGTCCGATCTTATATTTAAGATCGTCTTAAGTCTGCTTGGAGGTTGACTTAAGACCTCATTCAACCAATCAAATAGCTGCGTAGCATTTCAAGCTCGAACTTAAGACGATCTCAAATATAAGATCGGACTATGAATACCGGCCTCGGATGATGTTTCCGAACGTAGCCCCGGGTGGATAGAGGGAGACACCTCCGATTAGACACAGTACAATTGGACACAGTACAACTGGCTTTGATTGGCTAATCGTGCTGGATCGTGCTGGTTACCTGGTGGACCCTAGGCATCGGTCGATATGATTGGCTGTGTCTAATCGTACTGTATCTAATCGGGCAATCCCCGATAGAGGAGTGGTAATCTGAACACTTCACTTGAGAGTCCGGCAGAAGTATTTAGGAGGAATCTGAACGCTCTCTAGGAGTTTAGGTGCACCCGGGTAGGAAATCGGAACACAGCCTTAATAGTATATTATCTGTGCTGATATTTAGTTTCCATTTCAGTTTTCATTATCATTTCTCTCACTTACATGTGTAAAGAACAATGTTGTGGAACGATGTTGTGTATGTGTCGTTGCTTTTACTCTCTCTCGCATTCGGACATTTTTATCGTACAATAGAAGGATCTCATACGAAACAATGGATTGCGACCGTTTTCGGCTTTGCCTTAGTCATCTGTGTTTCAGGATCGTCAATCTTACATCCAATCGTTATTGTTCTTATCAATGCCACTATCATAACCAACTTGTCATGGAAGTATGAATATTTTAAATTTCTAAAATTGTTCGATGCTAAATTTAGAATATTGTTCACTGATTCCAGTAAAATTTTACGTAAGTATGTATTCTGAAGCGGGAAAATCATGTTAATATTTATTAATCTAAATTATATTTAATTTAAATTATATGTTATTATATACTGTGTTGTTTTATCATTTGAATTTTAATGTTTTGTTTTATCATTTTAATTTTTGGCTTTATATTTTATTTTTGAAATACATTTAATATGCATAAATACAGGATATTATATTGATAATTAATATTTGACAATTTTAAATTATTCAAAATTATTTATTATGTATTAAAAAAACAGAAATTTCATTTAAAATGCATAAATATATTTAATATGCATAAATACAGAAATACATTTAATATGCATAAATACATTTAATTTGCATAAATACAGGATATTACTATTGACAATTTTAAATTATTCAAAATTATTTATTATGTATTAAAAAACAGAAATTTCATGGTATCAAGGAATGCATACTATAAGTATATAATCAGTATAATAATCAGTATAATAATCAGTTTTTTACCTTATTTTCTTTTATCAAAATATAAAGATTATCTTCAGATTTTTAAATAAAATATTTTACTTTTCAAAATTCGAAAGGTTATTGAATATTGAATAAAAAAATATTACAATATATGAACAATCAATATCAATAATTATTAAAATATTTTTATAATAATTTTTAATCTACAAAATATTATTAATATAATACTCAAAATATTATTTATTACTTTCATTGTCATTGCTAAAGAATAAAACATATATATTGTGAAGCATTTCTAAAATCTAATATTACATATTGTAATAATAATGCATTCTCGCATTTCATGTGTTCTGTAGTTCTCATTAAAAATTCATTATTAAAATTCATTAATGAATATACAATAATAAATAAGGCAAATTTATTATTAAATTTGCCTTATTTATTATTAAAATACATTTACAAATTACAAAGAGGTAAACTTAAAAGTATATATTATACATTTATTAGCAAAAAAGCTATACTGCTTTTATCAGATTAGTCATCAATAACAATATTTATAGTACAATTGATAACAAATTGATAATCTGATAGTATTTTATTAATGGATTGTTGATAAGATAGAAATACTTTATTTTTTATCTGAAATATTTTTATTTTTATTAGAAGATCTTAATACTCTTGTTTAACAATGTAGTACCAACACAATGATTATCTCATGCATTATCTACGCATCATGTAAGCATCTCATGTATTATAGAGACAATTCTTTAATAGATTAAACAAAGTGGACAAATTTTGTAGCAGGCTCATTCTTTGTTAGATTTAATTATTTTCTTTGAAAGAAAATTCTAAAAATGAAATTTGCAAGCAACCAATAAGAGATCATTAAAATATATAAGAATATATCATCATAATATATATGTAATATAATTACAAAAACATTTCAATATACAGGGTATCTAGTAATAAACGTATCACCTCTCATGTATAAGTACAGCAGGTTAAGCTTAGAAAAGTTCTTTATTATTTTATAATTTTGGCAATAATTAATGAGAAATTAATTAAAAAAGATCAATTCATGCAAGTATTATTATTTGATTATAGTGTGAGACGAAAAAAGTCCTGCTATCACCAGTTGCTAAGACATGAAAATATCCAATGTCACACACATAACTCATATATAATTATTGTTAATTATTTTAATTAAGTTAACTGTTCGAGCGCTTCTTTCAATGCTTTGTTATATATTTAATAATCATGTAAATTTAGTTTAATCATGTAATAGTAGAATGTCTTTTTTCGTCATATATTAATATTCGCGCGAATTGGTCGATCGTATTAAATTAATTTCTCATTAATTATTGCGAAAATTGTAAAATGGTAGAAGATTTTTCTAATCAAATTAAGTCGCCTGCACACAAGAGGTGATACAGTTATTATCAGATACCCTATATATATCATTCTCATTCATTAACTTGTTACATACTTGAGCAAAATAAACATTTCAAGTGTTATTTATTATTATAAGTTATTTAGAAATATTTAGAAATTATTAGGAGTTATTTAGAAATTTAGTATATTTAAAAGTTATTTAGAAATATATAATAATTATTGACTTTTTATCTTATATATCCTTATACTTTTTACTTAAGATGTTTACCCATTTAAACATCTCAAGATATTGCTATCTGAATAAAAAAGCAAGATACTAAGCAAAAAATCTGGTTACTATTATGTATATCCTTACTATGCGATTTTTGTTTAAAATAACTTTTTATTCAATAATTTATCAGTAATGTAAGCTGGTCAATATATTACCCTTTGGCATATTGCTGAAAGAGTATATAAAAAAGTTTAAAAGTTCTTTTTCTCGTATAAAAAATAGTCAATGAAGGCACCTCGCACATTTTATATGAAAAAAATGGTTTCAAATTAACTAAAATTGAAATATGTGTAGTTTAGGTAGTACTGATCAAAAGAGTTTCCTCGAGCAAAAAGTACAAAAATCAGAAGTATAAAATACGATAATTTGAAGTGGATAATGTTGAAGCTTAAAAAATGCCTGTTTTTGAATAAATTAAATTAATGTATATAGTGTTTGAAAAAAAATTTATATATAATGTGTGCTATTTCTACAATATTTAATGATTCCAAACCCTTTCTGTCATATATGTATACATGCGTACATGCGTGTGTATGTGTGCGCGCGCGCGCGCTATGCTTAATCTCTGAGTAACACATACGCATGACAAAAAGAATTTAGAATCATTAAATACTAGTGTAATACTAGTGTAAATACTAAAAGAATTTAGAATCATTAAATACTAGTGTAATACTAGTGTAAATACTAAAAGAATTTAGAATCATTAAATACTAGTGTAATACTAGTGTAAATACTAAATAGAAGTGGTACACATTATTATATATATTTTGTTTTTTTCCAAATATCTATATATTAATTTAATTTATGTATTCAAAATCAGGCTTTTTTTAAACTTCATTATCATCCATTTTAAATCTTCATATCTTTTATATTTTTTATTTTTGCCTCGGGCGAAAATCAAAATAATATATAAATCCGGTATTTATGCATAAAAGGAGCCTCCTCTCCGATTTGCTTTATTTCTAAATATGTTATAGGGGAGATTTTCCCGAATAATTTCGTATATATACACATACAGGGTGTTTCATAAGTAGTTGGGAAAAATTTCAGGAATGGATTCTTCATGCTTAAAAAAGAAAAAAAAGTTAATCAACATAGGTCCCCTCTCCTTTTATGCATAAATACCATAAATCCTTTTGCCCGAAAAAAACTGTTGATTAGCATCACTTAAACTACAATATATTTCAATTTCAGCAAATTTGACTGAAACTACTTTTTTCATATAAAATGTGCGGAGTCTTTTTATAAGATACAACAATGATTACACTGATCTGCGAAGGTCAGTTACGAAAAGCAAAATAGGTGAATCTAATAGATTTTTTAACGCTAAAAACAAATCTAGCCGCAAAATTTTCCCAGCAAATTTTTAAGTAATTTATAGTTAAATAGTCTAAAAATATCTATTTCAGCCAATTTCATGAATTTATTATAGAACTAATTTGCTTTTTGTAATTAATAAAACCTAAATTTTCGCAGGTCTGTGCTATCGAAAATCACCAACAATTGTTTGATTTAATTATAATCAATTTTGATAAATGTTTACTTTAGGTTACACAACTCGAAAAATGTTTATTTTCACATATGTTGTAGAAGATACATTTCTAAGTAATACACCGTTTGAATTTTGCGGCGGTCTCTCTTCGTTCCTGAGATATGCGATTTTGAAATTTTATACCTACTTGTATCATCTTTTCGTTACATTCTAAATATGTTTATATTTTTCTGTTTACATTTACCGAAGTCACCTTTCTGAATAACTTTCAAAAGGCCGTTTTTTTTTAGTCGTTTTTTATTTATTAAACAGTTATTAACTAAAAAAGTTTTATGAATAAAATATAATTTTATCATATCATGTATATTTAAGAAGAGAGAATATAGGTAATTATACATAAAAAGGGCCAAACAATTTAACTTTATATAGAATTTAATACAATGTAATACAATTAAAAAAATATCATAAATGTATGTGTATACACACACATACACGCGCACGGGGGATGCAAGGGGGGCCTCGGCTCCCCTCCCGCAACCACCCCGCCGGTAGGGGACGTATTGCGAAGAATTCAATCACAATAGATATATGCTGTAAGCTGTTGTCCATCTTGCTTACCGGCGGGGTAGTCGCGGGAGGGGAGGGGCCGAAGGCCCACTTGCACTACCCCGCGCGTGCGCGCGCGCGCGCGCGCGCGCGTGTGTGTGTGTGTGTGTGTGTGTGTGTGTGTGTGTGTGTGTGTGTGTGTACACATACATTTGTGATATTTTTTAATTCTATTAAATTATATTAAATTCTATATAAATTTAAATTGTTTATCTTTTTTATTAGAATATTTATATTAGAATATTAATTAGAGATAGCAAACGTAAACAAAAAAATATAAACATACAAGTAAAATATAATATGAAACCGTGATGAACAAATGTAAACAAATATGTAAATATATAAATAGGATATAACGAAAAAATGACATAAAAGTATGAAACCTCAAAAACGCATATCTCAGAAACAAAAAGAGACCGCCGCAAAATTCAAACGGTGTATTACTTAGAAATGTATCTTCTACAACATATGTGAAAATAAAAATTTTTCGAGCTGTGTAACCTAAAGTAACATGTGTGTAACATAAAGTAAACATTCACCTCAATTTTTTATTACTTGTTTTCCCCAAAGTTGAAACGTCTTATTAGAGATTTAAATTAATTAATGTAATGATAAAAATTTGGATATTTTATTCTTTTTATATTTTGATCTATTTATATATTGATAAAAATATATTTATTTAATATCTTTTGTAAAACAGATCTGAAAACTTTGTTTGGTGAAAAATATATAGCGATATGTACAATATGTACTGTGATAAAAATAGCACGTAAAATTTAAGAATAGTATAAAGTAAAAAATTGCCTTCTTACAAAAGGCGACAAGACAAACGGGCTTATCCAGAAAACTATTTTGCAACAAAGAAATGCATTAATATATAAATTATTAATACATAAATTATTCCATTTTAAAACCACAGCTAATTTTATTTTATCGTTTCTCATGTGCGTGTTTATTATGTATATTATACATTATAATGATTAATTAGTGATTAATTAGTATTAATGAATTATAAATAATGTATAGAAAATGTTTAATTCTTTTTTAAATAAAAATTTAAATAATTATATACATATTTTTTTAATCATACATATTTTTTAAATACATATTTTTTTAATCAAAAAAATATTTATAGAAATTAATCTACTATCATTATAAAATAAAATAAAATGAAATCAACTGTGCAGTAAAAATCAATATCATCTCATATGAAAAAATCAATAACAGATGACAACTCGGTACATGTAAATATAGTTATGAACCTGAGAGCGCGAATTCTACACGATATTATTGACAAATTTTACTCGCTTACAACTCAAAAACTATTGTAGCCTCAATATTTTTGTTTCAGTTTTTGCTCAGGAATATGTTATTAAAATTTCAATTGTGAATTATGGGATAGTAAACCGATTCCTCATAACATTCCGCATAAAAGATTCTAAGAGTAAAATGATCAAAAATTGAATATTTTATACTTTAAATTAATATAATTTTACAGAAATTATGAAATATCTTATAAATATATATATATATATATATATATATATATATATATACATATATACACACACACACACACACACACACACACACACACACACACACACACACACACACACACACAGGGTGTTCCATTTTAACTTGGACAGTAAAATATCTCAAAACCTAAGCCCAGCAAACAAAAATGTTTCAGACAAAAGTTGTATGGTTTCGAGGGGGACATAAGATGGTACCATTGGTTTGACCTTGAAGAGTTATTTGAAGGTCACATGAAGTGAAGGTCACCTTCACTTTCTTAAATGGAACCTACATTTTTTCATTACATATTCTTGTAGCTTATCTCGTCTTGATACTTTTATGTACAAAATAACTTGTCTTAATACTTTTATGTACAAAATAACTCTTGTCTTAATACTTTTATGTACAAAATAATGAGAGAAATTAAATGGTGTAAAAAAAACACATAGTTGTTTCAAAGAAAAAATATGTAATTGTTAATTGCAAATTACATATTTTTTCTTAAAAATAACTATGCGTTTTCTTTACACCAATTGATTCCTCTCATTATTTTGTACATAAAAGTAGGGCAAGTAAGTAAGTTTGTACATAAAAGTAGGGTAGTAAGTAGTATATTAAGGCAAGATAATCGAAAAATGAATATTTTACTAGATATATTACGGTTTATGTAAAATTAAGAAATGATTTCAAGTCTCATAACTCGAAAAGTACTCAATGAAAAAATATTTTATTATAGTGTTTTAGGAAAGCTCTCGAGATAAGCTACAAGAATATGTAATGAGAAAATGTAGGTTCCATTTAAGAAATTGAAGGTGACCTTCATGTGACCTTCAAATAACTTTTCAAGGTTAAACTACTAATGGTACCATCTTATGTCCCACTGAAAACCATACAACTTTTGTCTGAAACATTTTTGTTTGCTGGGTTTAGTTTTTGAGATATTTTATATCTCAAAAACTAAACCCAGCCAAGTCCAAGTCCCACCCCTGTCCAAGTTAAAATGGGACACCCTGTATATATATATATATGTATGTATTGTTTCGCCCACGGCGAGGACTTCGATAGATATCGAAGCCAGGCACGAAGAGATCGGCCGCTCACGACACGTGCGAAATAAATAACCACTTTTAAAAGGAACTAGGAACTTCAATGCACAACACAGAACACAAACGATAACGTAAATAACATGGAATAATAACACAAATAGCACAACGGATCGGCTCGAGAGAAAAACGCGTCCGCACAGCTACACAGCTGGCTCCAAACTCAGCTGACAGTCGTTGTTTGTAAACAATCTTCCTGCCGACGGGATCCGGACAACGGCAGGGCCGTAACGACTCAGGCGCCCCTATATATATATATATATATATATATATATATATATATATATATATATATATACAGGATGTCCCATTTTAAGTGTCCACCCCAAATATCTCTCTCATTTTTGATTTTAGAAAAAAATGGTTCAGACATGTTTTGTATGGTTTCCAGGGGGCCATAAGATGGTACCATTGATTTGACCTTCATTTGAAGGTCATGTGAAGGTTACCTCAATTTTTTTAAATGGCACCCCTTATTTTTTATTACACATTCTTATAGCTGACCTCGAGAGCTTTCCAAAACACTGTAATCAAATGTTTTTTCGTGAAATACTTTTCGAGTTATAAAGCTTCAAATTTACAAAATTTTGATAAAAATACAAAATATTTCGTAAAACATTCACTTTCCGATAGTCTTATCTTACATGATCCAGCCAGTCAAGACAGAATCTTCTTTTGTGTACAATTACTTTAAGTATTCAAAAACTTGATCATTTACTTGTATGCATAGCTCTAGTTTATGGTGAAAGTCGTCCCTAACTTTTTCAAGAATACCTACATTAATATTTCTGCAAGCCTGTCTGATCCGGTTTTTCATATTTTCAACGGTTATAGGTTTTTGCGTATAAACTATATCTCTAATGTAGCCCCAGAAATAAAATTCTAGGGGCGTCAAGTCGGGTGATCTTGGGGGCCATTCTTGAACTCAGCCCATACCAATCCACCTATTCGGGAATCTATTGTTTAAATATTGTGTAACGGCTCGAGATCTTTGAGCTGGTGCTCCATCTTATTGGAATCACATTCGTCTGAGTAAATCATTGTCGACATGTCTCAAGAGGTTGGGCAGGTCATCTTGAAGAAATCTTAGATAGATTGCCGCATTGAGATTTTCTTCAAAAAAATATGAACCAACAATAACATCTCCCAGGATGCCTGCCCAAACATTAATGGACCACTGCCGTTGGAACTCTTGGCTTCTCTGCCAATGTGGCTTAGCATCTGAATAATAATGGCAGTTATGTCTATTAACGCCTCCTCTATTACAAACGTGGCTTCATCAGAAAAAAGCGTTTCAGCAATGAACCGGGGATTTTGTTGGATGGTATGGGAATAAGTTTCCGCCCTCTTGAAAAAGGTATCACTGATGATACTATCTTTGTGTTCGCTCAAGTACTATACTTGTGATTTGAAGGTGAGGTCTCGATTGCAGTAGTTAACATTCGTTTCAAGGGTAAACATCATTTTTTATCTGGCGTCAAAAATGTCAACGTTCGTCCCGAAAAAGCAGCATTTGCGGGAAGTTATGCTTCATTATTATATTTCGAAGAAAAGTGCCGCTGAAACGTGTCGTATATTGAGCAATATTTACGGTGATCACGCTCCGTCTAATACAACTTGTAAAGAGTGGTTTCGACGATTCCAAAGTGGCGATTTTGACGTGAGTGATAAAGAACGCGAAGGGGCACCGAAAAAATTCGAAGATGCACAACTGCAAGAATTATTGGATGAAGATGCATGTCGAACCCTAGATGATTTGTCCAAAGAGTTGGATGTTGACAGATCGGCCGGAATGGGACGGTAGACATGATAAACTCATTTCGCTGCATGACAACGCTAGGTCACACGTTGCTCAATCTGTCAAAAAATATTTGGAAGGAGTGAATTGGGAAATCTTGCCCCACCCGCCGTATTCCCCAGACATTGCACCTTCGGATTACCATCTATTCCGATCTATGCAGTCAGCCCTTACTGGAGAGCGGTTCACTTCTTACGAAAGTATCGAAAAATGGCTCAATGAATGGATCGAGTCGAAAGAACCTGGTTTTTTTCTCTGAGGAATCCGTATACTGCCTGAAAGATGGGGAAAAGTTGTCGCTTCCAATGGTGCATACTTCGCATAATATCATTATGTAATATTTCATTGTTTAAATAAATATTAACTTTGTTTAAAAAAGGACGGAAACTTATTCCCATACCTACTTTCCTATCAGGATAGCGTCTGTCTGGAAATCTTTCAGCATAAAGCTTTCTGCTGCCGAGTAATTATTCCTGGCCTCATCCAAAATGTGAATCATGTCCACAATTTTATTTGGTGGATACGCAGCCATAATTATAAAGAAAAAGAAAGCGCCAAAATACCAAAAATTCCTGTCTTATCAAAAAAAAATCAATGGATAATAATATGCGTCTGTCTGAGACTTCGCCAAAATACCAAAAGTTGCCCAAGTAAGAAATTTGAAACAAGCCTCTTGATATTTGTTTCATTAAAAGAATTGACAATTGCACTTTCACAATTGTTACAGTTCATTGATTATCAGGCAATACTGGATCTCGCCTTGACTGGCTGGATCATGCTCGGATCTTGCCTTGACTGGCTGGATCATGCTCGGATCTTGTCTTGACTGGCTGAATCATGTAAGATAAGACTATCGGAAAGTGAATGTTTTACGAAATATTTTGTATTTTTATCAAAATTTTGTAAATTTGGAGCTTTATAACTCGAAAAGTATTTCACGAAAAAACATTTGATTACAGTGTTTTGGAAAGCTCTCGAGGTCAGCTATAAGAATGTGTAATAAAAAATAAGGGGTGCCATTTAAAAAAATTGAGGTAACCTTCACATGACTTTCAAATGACTTTTCAAGGTCAAATCAATGGTACCATCTTATGGCCCCCTGGAAACATACAAAACATGTCTGAACCGTCTCTAAAATAAAAAATGAGAGAGATATTTGGGGTGGACACTTAAAATGGGACACCCTGTATATATTTCCTTACTTCAATACTTTTATATGAGAACTAATGAGAGGAATCAATTAGTATATCATATTTTTTTAAATTTCTCTCCCCACCCTAATTTTCGAAAAATTTGATTATACTTATACAATACTTTTTAAAAGTCATAAAATTTTTATTCCAAACTATTTTCGTATTTTTATCGTTTCAACAGTATTCGCTTAGAAATATAAAAACTGACTTTTTCTTTCAAAAAGATGTTTTTGTGCCTGTTTCTACCATCATTGTCTTAAATCTCCAGTTAGCAAAAGTTCCGTTAAAATTAAACCTTTGCTGATTGTTTTCTACCAACATTATAGTATAAACATTTAGCTAAACTTATAAATTATATGTCATAACTCTAAAACTCACATTGATTGGTCCAATGTTGGCTCTAACGGTATTATATTCTTGTTATATAACTTTTGAATTTGTCAATATTTTTGGGTTTTTTGGCATTCTTGAGCTTTAAATGAGATCAGACAAAAATATAAAAAAAGAAAATACTGGAAAAAAGAAAATAGAAAATATTAATTGTAAAGGTGCGAAAAAAATATTAAAATATAATTAATAATTATATTTTAATTGAATTATTATTAAATAAAAGAGAAAGAGAATTTAAAGAACGTTAATTATAATTAATAATTATTTTTAATAATTAATGTTGTTTATAAATTCTCTTTTTTATCTAATTTTTATTTTATATTTTCGTCCGCGCGAAGATGATAATATTCTCTTTCTCTTCTATTTAATTTTATATTTTCGTCATCCACAATATAACAGTATAAGGTTATATGTCATGTTTGAAATTATATGAAATGCTGGTTATATTTCTTAACCGTAGTTTAACTATTTCTAGCCGTCCAAAATTGGCCGTTCAATATAAACTCAGTTTAAATCTTTAATCTAAGCAAATAGTTAATAGAAACCAATATTCAGATTAATTTACGTTAATTGAATATCACTAGAAATTATCTTCTTAAAGGCTATAGCACACACTTTCCATAAGACATAACAGTAAGGTTTCGACCAATTGCGTTGCTCAATTTGGCCGTCCGTAACCAAATTTTCGGCTTCTGCAATCAATCTGACATCAAACTATTTTGCGCGGGTCCTGCTCTGTTTCTGTCGCCAATCTTCTATAATAATTTTATACAACTTCTGTTAGATTTCTGCTAACAATCTGACATCAAATTGCATTACTCAGATTTTGTTCGATTTCTGCAACTAATGTGACATCAAACTGTGTTGCGCACATCTTGCTCGATTTCTGCCACCAATCTGCTATGATAATTTTAAACAAATCCTGTTCAGTTTCTGCTATCAAATTATGTCAACAGGTTTTGTAACATTTCTGCTGACATTCTGTTATCATTATTTGATATAACAAATTTTTTATACAATCTGCAATCTTACTGTCGACAAAAATTTATAGCAGAAATTGACAAAATCTATTTAAACAGACTTTGCTGACTGGGATATCATGAATCATGATTATTATCAACAAAATCAAAAAGAAAATCTACTAATATCTTTAACAAGATTTAGAAATTCGTGTAATCACAAGCTTAATGAACTTCATGTAGTTGAAAGCTGTTAATGAATTACAAAAAATAAATAAAATCGATTAACAAAACATTGATGAACAAAACATTATGGAGCTCTAGAAGATAATAAATAGACTATTACAATAAATCAAAAAATATTTCACAAAATATTTTCACTATCAGCTTATAATATCTAAGAAAAACATAAAAATTACTGAATTTCAATTTGTTATGTATCTTCTAAATCAACATTTACCACATCTTTTTTACGAAATTACTCAAAGGAATCTCCTCTATAACATTTAAGTGACAATAAAATTAATGATGGTGTAATGTTTTATACATATTTATTCAAAAGAAGGCGCCTCTGTACCCACATGTTTATTTAAAGATTTGCTTTTTTACTTTTTAATATTCAATAAATATCTAAAATATTTAGAATATTTGATAAATATAATAAAAAATAAAAAAAAACAAATCCAAAATAAATATACTTGAATTTTATAAATTAAGAAACATAAATACAATAAACAGCCTGATACGAGCTAAACTGTGGATGATAGGTCAGTTAAAAAAACAAAAGATTAAAAAACAATGTCAATAAGTCGCATTTATTAAGAGAGCGACAAAAAAGTGAGACGTTTCGATGCTTACTTGCATCTCCTTCAGTCACGAAGTGTTAAGATTCAAAAATATGGTGATCGCATCTCGAATATAAAGTCAACGTGTGTTGTGTGACAGCTTGGTTTCAAATCTCCTAAAATTTGAAACCTCCACACAGACTCTTACTCGAGTCTTAGTAGTAAAAATTAAAAACATTGTTGCGGCAACGGTAGACAGTAAGACAATGTGAACTTAACACTTCGTGACTGAAGAGATGCAAGTAAGCATCGAAACGTCTCACTTTTTTGTCGCTCTCTTAATAAATGCGACTTATTGACATTGTTTTTTAATCTTTTGTTTTTTTAACTGACCTATCATCCACAGTTTAGCTCGTATCAGGCTGTTTATTGTATTTATGTTTCTTAATTCGTATTAACGAGCTTTATTATTAAAGTATTTGAATTTTATATTTTATAATTTTTAATTTTATTTTTATAATTAAAACATTACTTATAGAAATGTAAATTAAAGTATAGAATAAAATTTATTTACAAAATTAAAGAAAATCCAGAATATTAATCTTGATTGTATAAATTTTCAATTAAATATTATATTAAAATCATCACAACACATTGTTAAAATATATACAAAATAAAATATTTTGTTTTTAGTACTTTTAAAAATTTATTTTATTATATTTTTATATTATATTCTTTATATTCTCTATATTCTTCTCTATGTTCTTCTCTATATTCTTTATATTCTCTTATTATATTCTCTTCTATATATATATGCAAATTACTTGATTTTAATGTCTTTAATAATACACACATTTTGTATATATCCGTCAGAATCCATTTATCTTCATATAAAACGTTATATAATGCTCAACCGATGTTGCGTTCACCACTATAGTAAACTATAATTTAAAAAATGATGTATTATTAATTGTAACCGTTTTTGTCAAGGAAAATTCATTTTTCTTCATAACGTGAAACGTTATATAATGTTCAACTGATGATATGTCTCATTATAATGAACTATAATTAAAAAATAAATATAATCAATTATAATTATTGTGTCAATTATAATTATTGTGTCGTTTTTGGAAAATATTTTTCCTGTTATACTTTTCACATTATGATTTTAATATTCAGCATGATATAGAATAAACTTAATTCAATACAACAGTCAAAATATATTAATTTTTAATATGGGAGTTAACTTCTAATAGCTCTCCCATGTGCCTAATAAACCACGCACTACTATTCCCAGATTAACATGAGGTAATGATTTAGCTACGCAGTAAATTACACAGAGCGAACGCAATTCGGACTTTGTCTTGGCAGAGCGGACGCAATTCGGACTTTGTCTTGGCAATGTAAAAAAACATATTTACATAAATTTATAAGTAACTATCGCGTCATACTTTTTATAGCCTTTTAATGAGAATGAAGTAATTCGTCAGAATATAGACCTGTATAGTCTTATTCCAAGGTTCCAATGTATTATTCCATTATACATTTTTGATATGCTTTTAAAGCTTTGATATTTGTTAAGCTAATGATTTTTGTTATCTAATGATTTATTGTTGACACATGAAAGATAAGTAAAAGATAATAAACTCATTATGATTTTTTTAAATTCTCTCTATATCTTTTTTCCCCACTATTATTTCCTCTTTTTTCGTGTATGTGTGTGTTTCCGCGCGTGTGCGTGTGTGTGTGTGCGCGTGCGTGTGTGCGTGTGTGGATGTGTGTAATGAATTTATACAATTATATAATTACAAAATCGAGTCCAAAATTACAACTAAATTTCAACGCATTATTACAATATAAAATTCTTAATGATACGGAGAAAAAAAGGAAACAAGAAGCAGGAAAAGAAAGAGAAAGAGAAAGGATGAAGGAAAGAGAGGGAAGAGATAGAGAAAGAAAGACATTTTAAAATTAATATGTAGAATATAAATCAAGTTATATGCACACATATCATACAATAACGCGTTACAGGTTATAATCGTCAATTTTATTGTTAATTAAATAATTATTCAGTAAAATGTGAGTAATCTGCCAACAATTGCCAACAGATTTTGATCAAAATTTTACGGCAGATTGACAATTTGATCAATTGTGTTCGTATTAAATTTATGTTCTGCCTTAGAATCTGTCCATGTACTCTAACAGTAAATTATCATAAAAATTGAGCAGGATCTACGCAATGCAGTTTGATTGGCGCAAAAAGCGAGCAAATTTCTACTATTTCTAGTTATTTAAATAAAATACATAGTAACGTAAATCGTTATTTATGAAAACATTTAATTAATATTTAATTTAATGTTTTATTAATATTTACAATTCTGATACCTAGTTGTATTAATATTATATAAATCAAAATTAATATCATATAAATACATCAAAACGTAATATTACATGTAAGTATTACTGATAAGTAACTAGTTAATTGTAATTTTTCTTTTATAAATTAATATAATATACATCATATCGTAATTATATTATAAAAAAATATTTGCTTTATCATAATTAAATAAATAAATAAATAATAATAAATAATAATATATAATAAAAACTAAATTATAGCAATTAATTTATAAAATTAAAAAATATAATTTATCAAAATCAAGCTTTTGTATTTTTTTTACTTTAAATAAGCAATGTAAACGGACTATTTTCCATTTCTGCTAGTTATATAAACAATCAGTTATATATTTAGTTATAAATTTAGTATTTTGAATTTTCTGTGTTGTATCTTATTGTTAGATAATAATCAGAAATTAA